AAAAACCATCCTTCTCCTCCTCCTCCTCCTCTTCGGCGGCCGGAAGATTGTAGCGATTTCAGCAATGCTTCACTGTCTAAACGGCTTCACATCACCATATCTTTAAAAGTCTTTCCACCCCTGGAGACTACATTTCTTACACGCGTATTCCCTCTATAAGAGCTGCAACTGTCAAAAGGCAAAATCGTGCATGCATCTATACGCACAAGTTTCACTGTGCGGTCTCCAGTAGATCTGCTGTGTGTGGAAGATGTCTAAAACGCACACATAAACAAAGTTATAACGAAACCGACCGCATTGTCAATCCTGTCCTTCACCTCCTGTATTTTTTCGTGATACGCACCCCGCGTTGCGCACTAAAGTTCTCTACCTTTAAATGTCGCCTGCATCCAATCCAGCAGATGTCGCCTTTGCCTCAGTTTTCTTGTAACACAAGTGAGGAAATAACGAGTAGGATATGCAAGATTTAGCATTTAAAACATTTAATAAGATTATATATACAGTATATTATTGTTAGGGTTAGATAAAGATGTTTATATCAGTTTCATGTGTTTAAAATCACAAAAGCCAAAAATCCCATGAAACTGGAAAAACCAAAAGTAGCCTATGCTGTTGCTTCGACATGTTTTATCAGGATCATTATAATTGGCATTTTTATGCATAAATATATGTATAGTTTAAATAGTGTTCGGCGAGTGTTCAAAATATGTATTGGTATTTATTATTTTGGTATGCACTTATTCTTTGGTATCTATTACAACAGCTTTCATAATACCTACAATTTCCTTCACAGCTTTTTACAGGTTTTGTCAAAAAGAAATCGCTCTGGGTATCCATTTGGCTGATGGCTTTACTGAACTGTCATATTTTTCTTGGTAGTGCTTTGTTGTGGCTCCCACTGTGGCACATGTAGGAGAAAGATGTCAGTTCTGCACTTGCTCTCAGTGGCTTTGATAGAATTGTTTGAGACTGTTCTTGCCCAGGCAGCATTTAAAATAAACTTTCTGCAATACCTGCCAATGGAGAGTGGATTAAAAAATATATATTTTATCAAAACATTTTATTGAAAAAAAATTGTGTTTTTTATTTTAGAAATGTATTGGATATTTGTGAAGAAAAAACTTCAGACTTAGTTTGAAGAGAGGTTTTTGGAAACAAAAGAAATAAGACAAGAGTAAATGGTAACTTCTTTCCAGAAAATTATAACAAGATATTATTTTAAATGTAATTTAGGTAACTTTCTTTTCATTTAAAATGTTATTGCATAAAATGTTATGCATAGAATAACATTTATTTGCATAAGATTTTATGCAATGAACAAAGCCTGCTAAAAGCTTGTTGCATAAGGATCTTATTATATATTTCTCTAGTTCACATTATTTAACAAATAAAAATAGAATTTTTGGATACTTTTGGATAACTGCAAACTTCATTTTCATTATCGGTCTTCTCCAGACACTGGCTATGATTTGAAATACACATATGACCAATTCAGGAGTTTTATACGTATGTTCCTTTAATGTAGCAAAATTGTGTCAAGTTTCAAAACATTCCCAGTGTATTATTCATTGTTGCTACACGAAAAGGCCAGGGATGGGAATATCTCCTCTGAACAGACAGCATGCTAGGGTCTGCTTCTATGGTCCTAAACATTTTGTAACAATGTTGTTAATTAATGCAGAATGAGATGTTAACAGAAAACCTTTATTGATTTTTTTCATTAAACATAGTAAATAAGGTAATTATACTCTTCATGTGTTAATAAATGTACAAAATACAGTTCATGGAGAAATTCTAGCATTAAATACTACATAGCCACTGTACATCCATCCACCTGTCAAGTTTCCATTCATCTCATCCAGCTCAACACAGTTATCTCCAAGGGTGGAGGTTATACTGCAATATAACCATTCATACTCTCAGTACCATCCTATTATTTCTCTAGTTTCATATACAAAGTACCAGTAAAGGTAACAACAGAGCTACATGTGATTAACAGCACAGCTTCCATAAATATGTACAAAAATATCAGAGTCAACATAACAGGCACATCTTAACATACTTGACTTAGCCGTGTTAGGTCTTCAGATGTAGCATTCGTAGAAAATGTCCACAGTCTTTGGTTTCACAATAAAGTGTTTGGGGGGGTAAATAAATAATAAATTTTGGTGTATCAAGTTTCATAAACAATACTTACATAAGTACACATGTTTGGAATTAAGATTGTTTTGCTTTGTTTTTTGTAAGAAGTCTCACCAAGGCTGCATTTATTTGATTAAAAACACAGAAAAACAGTAATATTGTGAAATATTATTACAATATAAAATAAGTGTTTTCTATCTTAATATGCTTTAAAATGTAGTTTATTCCTTTGATGGCAAAGCTGAATTTTCAGCGGTCATTACTTCAGTCTTTAGTGTCACATGATCCTTCAGAAATTATTCTAATATGCTGCTTAATTATTATTGGTTCTCAGATAAAAAGATTGAAGTTCTTGTTATCATCAATGTTGAAAAACGTTTTTGCTGCTTAATATTTTGGTGGAAACAAAATTAGGATTCTTCATAAACAAAAAGTTCAAAAGCATTTATTTGAAATACAAATCTTTTGTAACATTATGGCTTTACTGTCACTTTTTTGTTTGATCGTCCTTGATGAAAAAAAGTATTAATTACTTTAAATATTACTTAACCCAGACTTTTGAATCTTAGTACATCACAGGAATGCATTACATTATAAAATACATACAAATAGAAACCAGTACTTTTAAATTGCAATAATATTTAACGATATTACTGTTTTTACTTTTTGATCAAATAAATGCAGCATTACTGAGCATAAGAGACTTCAAAAGCATTTTAAAAAAAATTGACTGGTAGTGCATGTGTCACATAACTGGTGTGCTATACTCACCTAAACCCTTCAGAAATTTGTTGACTCCACTCTGTTCTGTGTCTGGTAACTCTTCCAGATACTGTTCCACCCTCTGCTCAAATAGACCTGTTTATGAAAATAATCAAATTAAATAAACAATAAAAATCAATTCATTACTTAATAACAATAGATCACAGATTAATATTAATAATTCTCATTAGAACAAAAATAATAAATAAATAATAACAAATAAACTTTACACTTCTGTCAAAAGCATTGTTTTTGGTCACCAGCAGGTGGCAGTAAATATCTGACTTTCAGTTGCCTCCACCCTAGTCTGCCAGACTGAAGGCTGAAGGTCTGGAATCCATGGCAGCTTTCATTGGACAAAGCCCGCCCATGAGGCCATTTGACCGACATGTCAAACAACCAATCACAGTTTGTTTCGTTCAGTGTCACGCATCGGGGCGTGGAAATGTCGCTACAATAACAGACGGACGTATAAAACTCTCGGACGTATTTTAAAGATTCTGGTGTTTCCACTTTTGTGTGCTATATGCATCAGACGTTCAGCCAACGGTCCGTGGTCATGACGCCTGAGGCTGAGACTACCTCCACCCCATCTCATAATTATGCTGGGTGTGGGTTTCAAATGACACTTATAATGAGCCTGAGGCTAATAGGACATGTTTTATGAGAAGGCATTTTCTTTAATTGACCAAGCATGATTTACCTTTGGCCCTACACTTCCTCATCTCCCTATCCTGGATGAATCCAGCAAACATCTGAGACTCCATGAAGACACCCAGGAATCGCCGGATGCTCTTGGAGGCCACTGACTTGCGGAAGGCTTCGCGCTGGAAGTTGCGCTCCCCTCTTTCGCCCTGGGTAAGAAACAGCGAATAGTGGCCAATGGTTTCCAGGAAAAAGCGGATGAAGGCCTCTGATACAACACTGTTCAAAGAGGTGGTGCACTCTGTAAATAAGAGGATATCAGAAGCATGCATTATTCAAAATCTTAGAGCAACTAAAACAGCCATTTATATTTTATCAGGCATAAACAAAAATATTAAATCAATCTTTACCAAGATTTACTTCATTTTCATGGTGCATAAAAAAAAGACTAGGAATAGGAAATGAAATACAGTGAAGCCAGATGTTCTGCTTTCCAGTCAGAGCATGTTTCATGATGCACAAACATATATGCAGATAGTGAGACCATTGTAAACAGATGGGCAAGGCCACAACGTCAGGCTTTTCACCTTCATCTGATTCGCTGTCGGAGTCTTGATTGATGATGTCGTTCCTCTGTTCGAGAGATTGCTCCAGAGCAGCTTGCAGTTTGCGTGGTAATAGAGAGGCCTCGTCATCCATCTGTATACAGGAAGAGTATGGAGATTAACATTGTAACAACACTCAGTGATTCATAGCATGACACAGCCAGCTTGTTTATATTACGGTTGTTCTCAGATCTTAATGACAACACGACAATTAGCTGCGCTAGAGCCATGGGAGAGTTTGTCAAACTTGTCAAACTGGGGAGACGAACCTGTCTGATGAAGCGGTCCTTTCCAAGATCGACCATTAAAGTCTGAAATGTAAAGAGAAACAGATCTCAATCTGCTGAAACATTAGGTGGCATCATTCGGTTTAATCACACTATATTCAACTGTTTTGGGAGGTTTGTACGTCATTTCCAGAAGATGATCCACAACAGATGGAGCCTGACGTCCATTTAAAAATGCAGTGTTAAAAATGACAAGCACCACAATTTGGTGTGCTTCCAGATGTTTTGACTGCAAAGGGTCATCCCTTATGGCCTTTTACAAATGCACTTATGTCCAGAGTGCAATTTGAAAGTAGTACTGAAGACAACTTCTGCCAAATGCACTAAATGGCCAACACTAAGGAAGGGCCAAACTTGTGCCCTGTGGCCAAGCTGGCAGTGTCCTATGGGCAGCTGGGAACAACAACACTCTCCCAGTTGAGAAAGCAACAGCTTGGCCAGGAATGCTGATCTAGGCTTATGGCTCAACAAGGCTCATACACAAAAAAATGCTCCATTTTCTGGGCATGTTATTATATTAAGTATGCTTCTCACTCATTCCAACAACTTTCTGAACCTGGGAAAATGACTTTAGCCCCATATTCTACTACACAAGGGTTCAATGTTCAGGCAGCTTATTAGAGTAAGAGCAAAACTGAACTGTTAAGGAGAGCTGCCAATGTGACCATATTCACAGAAATTCAAAGTCACGATCAGGGAAACATCTTGCAGAATTATAGCCTCCAAGAGCTAGAAAAAAAATGCTTGAATCTTTGACATAAAAAAGTTAATCTTTGTGGTCGGGAATTTATGCATTTATCCACAGACTGCATGAGTTCTCCCCCCGGATCTAATGCCAGTTTATCAACCCAACCAGTTTAATTTAGGCTGGTACAAAGCCAAGCACATGTTGTACACACTTGGCAAAGTATCCTATTACAACAAACAAGACGGGTGACAACAGCATAGCTGGGAGTTAGTGACAAGAGATATCAAGTACCTCCTCCACGGGTAGTTCCTTGAGCTTTGGCAGTGAGCTGGAGAGAATCCCGACTAGAAAGGGCGTGGGACAGCAGACGATGTCCACCATGGAGGTGGGCAGCACAGGGATGAAGGTGTGCTGCCAGGAGAACGGGTAGAGCAAAGCCACCACCGCATGAACACAGCTGGAAAGAGTACTGTAGGGAAAGAGAAAAGCACAGTCAATCACCTAGCTTTTACAAAATCTCACCGACCTTCTTAGCAAATCCTGTTCTGGAAAAAGAATATTGAGCCCAGATTTTCCAGTTTATTTTGGCTTTAGCAAGGGGACAATGGAGTCTGAGATTACGAGAGCAACACAAGAAAATAGCCAGTGGCATTCAATAGACACCACATAAGTGCTATTCAAATGATCTCCTGTAATATTATTCACATTGTGACAGTGGCATTCAAGACACCAGTTACATAAAGCCCTCTGGAGATAATGATAGCTTGGAGTGGAAAAACACATGATAAAAGGTCATAAGAATCACTGATATGATCATTTTCTTATCTTAACAGGATTGTCACAAATGGTATGGTGTATTATATACTATGCATTTACATTATACTGTACATATTCTGCCATCTAATGTATATATTTTAGAAGGTTAGTGTCATCTCAAAATGGTCCACTTGTTTATTTGGAAATGTTTATTTCACTACACTACTGTTTAAAAGTTTGAGGTTAATACGATTTTTAGAAATTAATACTTTTATTCACCAAGGATGCATTCAATTGACAGTAAAACATTTATAAAGTTACATTTCATACATTTCAAATAAATGCTATTCTTAGAAAAGTTGTATTCATCAAAAAAATCCTAAAAAAAAACAAATACAATTAAATACATATAAATAAAAATATTAAACAACACTGATAATAAGAAATCAGCATATCAGAATGATTTAAGGATCATGTGACACTGAAGACTGAAGTAATGGCTGCTGAAAATGTAGCTTTGCCATCACAGGAATAAAAAAAAAAAGTAAAATAGAAAACAATTATTTTATATTGTAATAATATTTCACAATATTATTGTTTTACTGTATTATCGATTTAAAAATTCAGCCTTGATGAGCATACAAATTCATTCAAAAACATGAAAAAAAAAATACTAAACCCAAACTTCTGATTTACAGTGTCCATGAATTTGCCATTTTTAAGGTGAAGGAAAGGACATGATGTGTTGCCACAGCTTTATGCACTCAAACATCACAGCTTTCACAATGTAGCAGAAGGGGATAAGCTAAACATGCTAAAGTGTCCAACATTGCAACAGAAAATAATTGGACTTCGATTAATAAACAAACAAAAAACATGTACAGAAATGCACCTAAAACATAAATCTACTGTTTTATGAAGTAACAAACAGGGGGGAGAAAATACACTCCAACATTGCAACAGAAAATAATTGGACTTCGATTAATAAACAAACAAAAAACGTACAGAAATGCACCTAAAACATAAATCTACTGTTTTATGAAGTAACAAACGGGGGAGAAAATACAAATTTTCATTACTTTACAGTTGTCAAAACTTTACCAGTAAATCACTAGTAATGTTCCAACAAAAAGAGTAAAATGTTCCCACAAGACAATCATCAAATCAGTCTGGTTTTCTGTGTGGCTTGTATTCAAGATGGTTTATCAGCCACATTACCTACTGTATGTGAAACAGGCTGCATGTCCGTCTTATCTTCAGGGTGAAATGGTAAAGATGATATTGTGATGGGCTACCACACACACGCTCGTTCTCATTCAAATGTCGCAGCTAAGGCTAAATGCAAAGTCACAAATAGCACAGCAGCCTTCTCACGGTCCACGGCTTGTTGATAGTGGCTGACCCTCCTTTCTCTTGTTCTCATCTCTTTCTGTCCCATCCACCACATAGGCCCACATATACAGAAGCCGAGAAAATAAACCACTGGAAACACACCGACTCCAGCCATGAATTAGAAAGGATCAGGACTGAACCCATAGATAAAATTTGGTATGCTGACAGGAAACTAAACATAATTGCAGCTCCAATACTGCTCATTTGTGTTGTTAGGAACGAAACAAATGCCTAAGGAAGCCCGTTTTCACCACAGAATGAAAAAATAATAAAGGTAACTGCAACTTTTTGTCTCACAAGTCAGACTTCAGAGAAATTCAGAGAAATAACGTCAGAATTGTGAGATACAAAATCAGAATTCTTAATTTACGGTACATTCCGCAATTCTAACTTTTTCCCTCAGAATTACGAGACACAAAGTCCAAATTGTGAGATAAAAAGTAGTTGCAATTACCTTTTTTTATTGTTTTATCCTGTAGCAGAAACAGGCTTCCACAAATGCCCCCTTTTATTATACATAAAAAAAATACTAATTTTAATATATTAGCTCCAGGTCTCAAAACAATTTGCATATCCACAAATTAGCACATGCAATTAGTAGTTAGCATTTTTAATCAAATCAAAATATTAAATTTCATGGCCTGTGCTTAAAACACTTTAGGTGGTGTCTGAATGTTTGTGTGTGTGAGAGATTCTGCATCCTGCATTCTGGCGTGTTCACACTGGGAACAGAGATAGACAGATTATAAAAACCTAGCCACAGGCGAGACAGGCAGATTCTGATAGCTGATACCTGGAATGTCAGCACTGAGGCCTCAGAGGCAAGTACTCATGGGAAAAGTTGAAGACGGAACTTTAGACCAGTCCAAACACCACTCTATGCTGCCCGAATCCTCCAGGAGCCAAACAACACAGATAGAGGGTTGAGTTGAAAACTGCTGCTAGCTACTGTAATTGACTCCTATCTGGACTGTCATACAGAGCCGGTATGCGCACAAACACAAAGTCATATCAAACACACTCAACCAACTGAAATATCCTTTACACACTGCATCCTTTATCTGACAGAACAAAAAGACGTAACAGCTATTATATTGTATATTTTATCACAAGAAGATAAATCATAAGATGATAAATCACCTTCCTCAAAGATTTAAAAGATTCTATATAAAAATTGAATTCTCAATTCTCTAAAAAACAGCAACATTTTAAACAAAATTCTAATGAATTAGAAATCAAACTGTCATTTTCACACTGTCTAAAAACACACAAACAGGGTTAACACACCATTGTTGTTACTGTTAACTAAAACTACAACTATTAAAAAATAGTTTTCGTTAACTGAAATAAAGTTGAAATAAAAATATTACATAAAAATCTTTAACTTCGAAATGTTGCATTGGCAATTAACTGAAATTAAAACTGAAGCATTAAAATATTTGAACTAAAAATAAATTACATCTAAATAGAGATGAAGCTTAAAAAAACAAAATCTAATAAAAGTGACTAAAGCAACCTAACAAAATTGCTTACAAAATTTAATCTAAAATTTAAAATGAAATCTGAAATTCAATTCATTCAAAATATTAATAAATACTATAGCATTCAAATGCTATTAAAATAACACACTGATCCAGCAGAACCCAACAGCTGCTGGAATTTGATGTTTGTTGCGAGCAACATGAGCTAGCCTTAAAAAGAAGAATTTGCAACAGAAGCAGCTTAAGGGTGAATATTCAAGATCCTAATCGTAGCAAAAATTCATATGCTTTCATTTAACCAGCCAAACTGAACTGGACAGATTCTCAATATTACTGCATCTTTCAAAAATAATGGGAATGTTGGATGGCTGGCTGGCTTTTGGAAAAAGAGCTCAGAGAGTAATTATATATATTTAATGAGAGCTTCTGCATGTTTAACCAGTGGTGGCATGCGGTATGTGGATGTAAGAGCAATAACACCAAGTTTATGCGAAATTTGATGTGAAGTTTATGTTCCTACCTTTATGCAATATACTAAAACAAATCACTGTGATGATAATAAAAGGAGAAAAGGAGAAAAATGAAGAAAACTTTTCAATGTTCATGTTTTTTGGCTTGTTTACTACAGAAACTAGCTACACAAAAGTCACTGGCCAACTTGGCATTACTGTATTACATTTGCCTAAAGGCCTTCCGTCTCCTTTTCTTGTCATCTTGTCTGGGACACAAAACATTTTCCCACCTGCCTTTCTGTGCTCTGATTCAACAACAACAGTCACTTACTACAGGAAGACATCTACAGCTAGACCAAAATTTGCACACACAATGTACCCAAGAAAAGGAAGTCATTTAGAAACGACAAAACCAGGCAACAAATTGGAGAGTTTAACTCCTTCCTGTTTTTTTATAATCACATAACATGCATATCATAGTACAGAAATTTCAGTAGCAGCAATTTCAATACAACGTTTAAAAATTAATGTATTATTGCGGATACTTCAACGTAATATTGGGTGATGTATTTACTTCATTAACAATCATAGCTGCTCTACCCCCCACAGGAACTCACTCGGCAGCCTGATTGAATATCAGTGTCTGGTTTGGGAAGAGGAGCTCCCTAGACAATCACAAAGTTAATGGAAAAGTTTATGATTCGAGAACAATTACTTTCTGTGCCACAAGAAATAGGATGGTTTAAGCTTCAGAAAGTGGCTATACAGAGTGGAAAGGGTTAAAGCAAACAAGGAAAATCCCAAGGAAAGCATTGCCTAACATGGAGTGAGTGTTCTTTCTGCCAGATTCTGAGCAGCCGATATATGTTACAGGCTACAGAAGAATACATCATACACTGTTGGCAGACATTTTTTGGAAATGGATTGCAGTGGTCTTTCCCAAGAGAGCCGCAGCAATGTCCTTGATGTGGGAGAAAGGAGACTTTTCTACCTTAGTCTAGCGCTGCCCATAATCCACCTAAGGTTGCTGGGCAACACAGCTAGGCCTGGACTAAATCCCATCAATCCACCTATCCTGTTTTGAACAGAGCCAAGCCCATGGAATGTCAATACTTGGCTTAACAGCATAATATGTTGTAACTAGAGCTCTATCTATTATGATAATGGGTGTGATTCAAACCCATTCACAAAGAGTGGGTTTTGAAAAGCGTACTTTGAGCAACTACATAGCACATACTACTTTTGTTCTCTGATTCAAAAACAATATGTTTTGCTATTCTGAGTCAAATATTATCAAGTTTGTGAACTAAACCATTGGTGTACCATGTGGGAAGAAGCAGAGGGCAAAGGAAAGGTTTCAACACAAGCTAGGTCAATAACACTAAGTACGTTCACATGAGTTAAAAATCGAGCAAGCACATAATGCAGAGACCAACTGTTGTCTGATTAATGCACTGGTTCTCAACCTTTTTGACTTGAAGGCCCCCTATTTCCACCAGTATTTCTGCTATAGTAATGACAAATCTGTTTGTTTTTAATCTTTTTTTATATATAAACAGAAACTGTGGAACAGAAACAAAAACAATATTTGAGGACTATAAGTAAGAAAAAAATCTTGATTTTATGTATTTTTTAGCGTTTTATGTTAGATAATTTTAATAATAATAACAATAATCTAAATGTTAATTGTACTCATACACAATATATTCATTAAAAAAATACTGATTATACACTAAATACTGATTGGGGGTGGGGGTTTATATGAATCTATTTCTGATGGCACTGACTGTCTTCAGAAAAGTTTTGATGGCACTTTCTTTTAATCTTACCTCCATATAATGCCTATTAAAGTAGTGTTTGTAAGTGCAGCGCTACTTAGTTTAAAGAGGAACCTGTATTGCTAGTTTTATAAGCGCCACCTACTGTCAGAGAGTAAATTTACATTTTCATTCAGCCCGTCTAGTGTTTTGTGTTTTATGTAGCATTATTTTCACAAAGTTCAAATAAGAACATCCTGTTTTTGCTTTAAATCTTGGCATGTAATAGAGCAAATAATATCTTTTTTAATGCACTCTCTCATACTTTCTTGTCTCTTGCTTAAAGAAAAAAAGTAGCAATCGGTATCGGCCCATTTGCTTGTTAAAAAAAATGGCAATCGAAATTGGGCATGAATCATCAGGACTTTAGTTCTTCAAAAACCAGACTGGTATTTCAGTCGGACTAAAGCGTTGACATGACTTAAAAAAGACAACTTATTGTTTTAGTCAGACTGAAATCAAACTTCTAAAGTGCATGTAAATTTGTAACTTTTTAAGTAACATCTGTCACCCTGTTACAATACGGACACCGATTAGAGGAGAGAAACACGGGCAGTCACTCACACAGGAAGTGCATTCCTTCTTTCACAGTAACTGCCCACCCCACATACCCCGCTGCTGTTTGTTTGAACTGGCTGATGATTTGTGGAGATTAAGCTTTCACAAATAACCTACTCCCTAATGACCCCCCATGCCCGGCCACAAGCTTCCGTGACCAAGCACGAAGGCTCGGAGGGGGGTGCCGAAACCTCCGGGGACCTTAACGTCCCTAACAGCACCAAAGCCCTGTCTCTGGCCTGACCCACTTCTGCATTTAGATCAGCGGGGACTCCTGGGAGTTTAGCCCAGTGTTAGAGGGTGGAGTCAAAAATGCCTCCTCTGATGAATTTAGCAGTGGCCTGCATGGAGCAGCCGTTGGGTCACCCTTTAACCAAAACCGCAGTAAAAAGCTGCTATTTGACAGATGCACTGGTTGGACACTGACAGACAAAACACAACTGGGCCCGAAAACAGCTATTTTCTGCCCAAATAAGCCAAGCCATATTGGCTGGAACATTCGGACCGATACTATGATTGGTATTCCATTCAGAATCCCTATGGTCAGTGACAAATACGGAATGATGTTTTCCTAAACTTTGTCCTCTTATACTGTGATGACCACTTAGCTTGAGTTTCTGACTTGAGAATCTGGGAAAGGAATAGATCTGAAACAAAGACTACAACAACCAACAGGAGGAGAAAAACCCAAAAAGATAAAAATCTTTCATTTGTAGCAGATGTTATTTTACGGGCTCTGAATGAGTAGATGGAAAACTGGAAGTGACATTGCACATCAGTAAAGAAAGGGGTTATTGAGAACATCTGCTGTTAGGCCACACTCAGACTGCTGTTGTCACAGTGGTCAGCTTGTCTTAGAGGAGGACTGGGAGGACTGCTTGACCATGTTTGGTCTGAAAAAGCAAGAACTTTCTCATGGGAATGAAGAGTGCGTTACATGAGATGATATGCTGCCTACATTTGACAGTTCATATTCATCAGCTCAAAGGCTGCAGATGCATGATAACTCAGACACTTGAGCTAACACACAAGGGTGTCTCACCTCAGCTTGTCAGCCACAAAGATGACTCTTCGTTCCAGCAACAGAGAGGCAAAAACACGTACCACCTGTCGTACACTCAGGCAGTTGAACAGACTTTCAAAGTCCACATGCTCTAGTCTGGAGTCCATGGGCCTTCGTAACTCAATAACCTGAGGAAAATAAAACACTGTACATTAATCCAATTAGCAATATGAATGTTGTTAAGATGGAAATTGAAAATATTACTATTGACTATTTTATTACTATATTCCCCCCATGCATGCAGCATAAAAAGGCATTTCAGAGGCAATGAAAGTTATTACATTTTGCACAATAGGACCAGAGACATTTATTAACGAAGTATGTTTTGTTGTATATGCCATCATTCTCCAGCAAAAGTGTTATGAATTTTATATATAATTGTATAATTATTAAAATATTTCCAGCATATATTGCAACTTTGGTAACACTTTATTTTAAGGACCAGTTCTCACTATTAATTAGCTGCTCATTAGCATGCATATTACTAGCATGTTGGCTGTTTATTAGTATTTATAAAGCACATATTAATGTCCTATTCTGCATGAGCATATTTTAGATCCCTTAATCCACCACACACCTAAACTTAACAACTACATTACTAACAATTAATAAGCAGCAAATTAGGAGTTTATTGAGAGAAAACTCCTAATTAATAGTGAATATGTGTTCCCTATTCTAAAGTGTTACCCAACTTTTCTTTGGAAAGAAAACTTAACATTCAATGATAAATAAATAAATAAAACGCTGTTGTTGTTGTTATCATCATTAATAATAATAATAATTAATAATATATTTTTATTAAATAATAATATAAAAATATGTACATTTAGAATTAAAAATGTAAAATTATGAATTTAATATTTTAAACTAAAATTCATAGAAAATGTAAATGACTAATTTTGTGAAAGTGAAAATGTAAACTATTGGCCTGACCAGGTAAGCAGAAAAAGAAAAAAAATAGTCAGTGCTGATTTTTTTGAATATCATGTAAATATATTCAAATTGACATGATATTTAAAAAAAAATGAAAATTATTTAAATATATATTTTAAATATATTTGAATATCATGTAGTCTTTAAGGATTCAGATCTCATATCTATAGATTATATAACATTTGCTTCAATGAGTGATGAATAAACTCTAATCTACAGCAGATAACAGCAGTCTAATTTATATGAGGAAAGGATCTAACCTCATTTCCTGCTCCAGGCAGGAAGGTTTTGACTTTTATGGTTTTGCCTGGTGCTGGGAAAGGAGATTCCATCACACTCCTCATGAAAGGATACACCAGAGCAGCCGAAATCCCTCTCCTCCTCTCCACTTCATCAAGGATCTGTAATAAGTTAATGCTGAATTAGTTGATGGAGAAAAACACAGTGTTAAAAGGCATTCAGATGTACAGTAGATTGTGGCACTTCTACTGGTTTTATACACTGCAGAACAGCGATCGATTTCATGTGGTCTGTTTCTTTTTTCCTTTCAGATATGTGTGTGGAAGTCTCTGGAATTCTAACCTGTCACTAGCAAGTCATGGTTTTCATCGGCTACATGAGATTTTTTTCAAGATTGACGAAAACATGCAGATTAGATTTCCACGGAATATTATGATAACCAAACCAAGGTTGGATGTTTTCAAGCATGTTTTTATACTTCTTCCTCACTTTCCCGTGAGTGAAAGGTGGAAGTGAAAGAAATAAAAGTGGTTTAATAGGCCAGAGAGAAAGACAGATGTAAGCTGGATGTTCCTCAATGCCAACACAAGCCTTGCTCCAGCTGTGCCCATATCTGACAGCCAGAGAGACAGTGTGGAAGTGTGTGTGTGTGTGTGTGTGTGTGTGCGCATTTTTGTGACAAATGAGGACATAAATTTGTATAATGACAAAGGTATGACATAGGTATTACAAGGAGAAGGTGACTTTTCAGGACATTCAGGTCCCACTTTTCAAAACGCATATAAATCACACAGAATGGAGTGTATTGAAAATCTGAAATAGCACAAAGTTTCCTGTGAGGGGTAGGTTTAGGGGTAGGGTTGGTGTAGGGCAATAGAATATACGGTCTGTACAGTAGAAAAACCATTACGCCTATGGGATGTCCCCACTTTTCACAAAAACAAACCTGTGTGTGTGTGTGTGAGCAAGCCTGAGCTCACCTTGGAAAATAGGCTGAAACAGCCCAGTCGGCTGATGACACAATACACTTCAGGAAGACGAGGCCCTTTCCCAATCGGCTGCAGGTGTGGGGAAAAGATTACACAAGCAATTAAATCACACACATGAAGTAACTCGGGGGTATGCAACACATGGAAGCATCCAGGTGATTTCTGTAAAACGTATAAGGTACTAAATCACATCTGTGAGAGGTGAAATTGAGAAGAAACCAGATTTTGGTGTTGCTTGCATATGCATGATGCTAGGGTGCTGTGGGTGGTTGCCAGTGCATTTCTATATTGTCGTTAAATTCTGAATGCTTTTAAGTGTGTTGCTATGCAGTTGCTAGGGTGTTCTGGGTGGATGAGAGCCCAACCAGAAGTCTCAATGATAGTGTGGTTCGTATTTTATTAGATTATTTTATGTATTTTATTATCTAGCGGACAATTAAAATGTTTAGGGCCTGTAAGATTTTTACTGTTTTAAAATAAATCTCTTATGCTCACCAGGGCTGCATTTATCAAATACAGCAAACACAGTATTATTGTGAAATATTATTACATTTTAAAACTTTTTTTTATGTTAATAAATTAAAAAATGTAATTTATTACTGTGATCCAAAGCTGCATCAATTACTCCAGTCTTCAGTGTCACATGGTCCTTCAGAAATCATTCTAACATGCTGATTTGGTGCTCAAGAATTATTTCTTATTATTATCAATATTGAAAAATATCAACAACTTGCTGATCCCAAACTTTGGAACAGTAGCGTAGATATTAGATTTCTCTTCAACATGCTGCATATTTTAGATGTCATTAATGTCATGATTACAAGTGTTGTGGGATGTGACTTGATAAGTATGAGCAATAGTGATGGGCGGTTTAGCAAGCAATACTAAGATTGAATAAGGGAGACAGAGAGACAATAAATAGAGAGTGAGAGAGAGAGAGAGAGAGAGAGAGAGACAGAGAAGCCACAATTTAAAAGTTAACATGAGTTTGCATGTTAACAATAGAGCCATAGTTTCATGCTGTTGTAAAACGTGGGGATGAGACTATTAAAATAATCACTCCCTTTAAATGTTGTCCTCCTATGCCATATTTGTATTTAGTATTCAATTCATAACCTAAAGTTAAACACATGAAATAGTGCATGGTGTGAGTCTAAAATGGATGGAAGTTTTAAAAATGAATACAGAATTTCCAGTGTAAACACAGCACAGATGCAGTTCCACAAAATGAATGAGTTGTCGCATGCAATTCACTAAACAATCGAAAGTCTGGCTATTTTCTAGAAATCCAATCAGGTTAGTGTCTCTCAAAGCACACGAACACAAAGAATCCCCATTCCTCTTGTCCATATTAGGTATGCAATTCTCCTCTGCTGACTTTTTACAAATGGATGATTAATTCAAGCATGTGGAGCTGGGTTCAAATCCTCAGGAATGCTGCCCTCATGCCAGCCCCTGGACTTCCTCCCTGCAGGGAACACAGTCAACACTTCTCTCCACTGGGCCATTCAGATGCTCAAAAAGCTGAGCTGAGAAAGAATAGAAGCTCAAGAAATCCCACAAGCCAATAATGAATCCCTCTAAATCTAAAACTGAACAACATCATGTCACATCTATAAAAAGAAAGTTCTGAAATAGCAACAGCAGTCATATTGACAAATATTGACAAGCATATCAATGACACATTTCTCTTCTTTTATTTCCAGAACAAATGTTTAGATGTTTAAAACACTTTAAAATGTCATTCTCAAAGCACAGATTACCATTAACATGCACTTTAATGCAAAACATATAATGTATAACTTATAACAACAATGTTCAGAAAAGGCAGCACATTCCTAACTGCACATTCACAAATAAAACCCATGAAACATGCAGCTCATCACAACATCCAAAAACAATAATCACCACAAAACTCAAAGCACACAAATATGTGACCAAATCTTACATACAATGACATCTTTTGATGGTTTGCATTTCCATTCGTCTCCTGAGAAACTCTCATTAAACCAGAGGAGACACGTTTATGAGAATCTGTTAGTCTTTGAGCACAGAAAAGAGAGCAAACCAAACACTTACTCAAGTGACTGACCAAAAACCTCTATCCATATGCTTGCCCTTTAATTACAGTGTGTGATGCAATATACAATATACATATGGTTGTACTAACACAAACAAAGGGAGCAAGAAAAGCATCCATAATGTGAGAAAGAGACTCACCAGAAGCCGTCTACAATACCCAAAGCGTCTACTGCCATCTTCTCCGGTGAGCATGAAAGAGAAGGTCTCACTGCAGCAAAACAAAGATAGCCATCATTAGTCCCCAAACCCTCATGTAGATCAGGTGATAACAAGTAGAAAAACTGTTTAAAACCACTTGAGAGGAAATGCTCTTGAGATTGATGACTTTGCCTTTGAGGCGTATCCTTTGTGGTTAGAAGACTTTATCAGGTAGATAAGATGTTTGCAAGAAAACCAAAGAAATTACTGAGTTTATGACATGAGGTATTTGGTCATGAATACTTGTGGAAGTTTAATTGTCATTTTTCAGTTCAGTTGATGAATTGATTGTGCGATAGGGTTGTTCCTGTGACCCACACAATGTGGTTGTAATTGTCTTGATGGAAGTACAATTCCAAAAAATCTCTAAAAGTGCTCTTGAAGGTAGCCTTTTTTCCAGCCAAATGTGACTAATGCCACATGTGCTATTTTTGTACTGTTAAATTTGCTTTATTTTAAATGTGCTGGTAATGCAGACATATAAATTATGATGTATGATATTTTGAAACTATCATTGCATTAAATTCGTTTTTTAATCAATATCAGTTAATATTGGAAATATCAGATGATATTGGATATTTAATTGTGGGCACTCATTTCTGCCTATTTTTAAATGACCTGTCATCATCCAGGGCTAATTTTAAAAGGTGGCAGATTGAAGCAAAGACGTAAATCTGCTCTCCCAAAGCCCTATAATAGAGGTGCTTTTTCCAACTCTATTATAGGGACGTTCTCATCTCGACTGTTCAACTTTCAACTTTCAAGAACATAATTATATCATACTGCATACTTCATACTGCACATTATGATGCTGTGATGAGTAACTTGACCGAGTAGATTTTTTTAGTGTGTTTTACTTTTATTTTAGACACAACTGTATAGATTTTAAATATTGGCCATAACATGAAAATAATTATTGGATTATCAGTAACAGCCAGAATTTTAAACTCAGTGCATCTCTGCATGCATAGAAAAACAGTAATACCTGTTGTATTCAGACACAGGGCTCCAGTCTTTGGCATCTGGAAAGCAGAATTGTGGGATAGCCTTGAGTCTCTGTTCAGCTTCCCTCATCTGCTTGGTGAGTCTCTCTAACTGTGAGGGTCAGATGAAAAGACCTGGTAAGGAATCAGCAAATGGCTGCAATATAACAAAGAGTGAAAAATTTAAGGGGGTCTGAATACTTTCCGTACCCACTGTATTTGCACAGCCTCTTTACAGTATCCTTTTGCACCTTCATTACTAAGTCAAATATGTACTTTTTCCGCCCAACAAGGGGACAATCCCCCAGTTCTACCACAACCCATGTCACCATCAGCCCTCTGCTCTAGTTTAGAAACACATTAACGGGTTGACCCTCTTTTGGGCAGAGTGTCAACATATTTCAGCTTCTCAAGGGAACACAATCACTAAGGCAAATCTCAGCTAATTAAAGACCTATCTCTGTAACTAAACATGATTGCTATGGCAACGATTTCCTGCTTATGCCACTTATTGTCAATACGTCCAAACGATAAGAGCTCAAAGCTGTATTTTCAGCCTTGTTTCTAATTTGCATAATTACATTATTGTTGAAACATTTGGGGTCAGTAAGATCTTTGAAAATGTTTTTGATGCATTTTATGCTTACTAAGGCTGCAATTATTTAAATAATTAATTGTTTTATTTTAAAAAAATTAAACAATTGCTTTATATTTCAATATATTTTAAAATGTAATTTATTTATGTGACCATTTTTTTCAGCAGCCATTCCTCCAGCCTTGTCACGTAATCCTTCAGAAATCATTCTAATATGCTGATTCGGTGCTCAAGAAACATTTCTTATTATCAATGTTGAAAAAAAGTGCTGCTTAATATTCTTGTGAAAACCGTTATACATATATATTTTTCAGGATTCTTTGATAAAAGTACTAAAGAATAAAAGTATTAATCTCTTTCTTATTGACCCCAAACTTTTGAACAGATGTAAACAGATCTGTTATCAAGTATCCAAACAACTACATTCTACCATCTGAATAAAAAAAACAAACACTCAATTTGAATGACATTCAAAAAGCAGCAAGGATTATTTAAAATCATATAACAAGACTTCATCAGGAAACTGTTTGACAGCAACCCTGTAAGAATTGACCCTAAAAAGACATATAAAGGGATCCTAAACACAAACAGTAATGTATATCCCACTGTGCAGCATCTTAACTGTAAAGCAAAAACAGTATCTCCCTTTTTTTATAGAGAATATTCACCTTAGGGAACTGGTAAGTGACTTCTGGAGTATAAGAGTTTTTGGTGGGCTTTTTCTTCAGTGAGACCACCACAAAGTACTCAAAGAGCTCCCTTTCCTGCCACTCAATCAGCTGCAGCTCCAGAGTCCTGTAACTGGGTGCACTTCGCAGCATTGACTGCAGCTTCAGTAACCTCTGAGTGTGGGCTGCGTTAAAAAGAATAAAAATAAATAAATAAATAAAAATCCACACAATATTACAGGCAACATGTATATTGTGAAAGAACTGTGTTTGTATTTTGTGTGTACATGGTTATTGTTAAATGATGTTCATATAAAATGCACTTTTACATGAACATAATTTTAACGCTTTTATCATCAAAAAAACAGGCTGATTATAAGATAAATTGTTGAGATTTCTAATTTAACAGACCCTATGTGGAGCTCAGTCTCATCTAATGCTCAGGTCCAGATTTGGTATTACTAAAAATAAAACTAATAAAAATGGTTTTCTTCAATTGAAATAAATCGAATTATTATATGAAATCGAATTATTATATGAACAAACTGAAACGAATAAAAATAACAAAAGCAAATTACTAAATTACTAAAACCTGAAAATATTAAAATAAAAGCTAATTCAAAATATTACTAAATACAGTAATATTACATTCAAAATATTAATAAAAACAATAGGAGTATATACATAGCACTGCTCAGTTTTGACATTTACTTGTGACAAATCACAGGGTCATGTGATGTTGTTTGCTCCAAGGACAGAATCTTTGAGTAGCACTCAACTCAAACACATTGCTCACTCAGCCATATGTGCTGATCCCTTACCTTTAAACCTGTCATCAGAGTCACTTTCACTCTCGCTGTTGTCATCTACAAACAGAGTAGAGGGGTTGTTTAATGTCAAAGGGTCAACTGACAACATTTTTTGGTCTGAACATGAACAACTGGGGCACATTCTGAGAGATTACATCACGGTAAAACTCTTTACCTCTTAGAGACGCAGTTTCTATGTTTGAAAGCGAAAGTTTCTTTAGCCTCTTCTTTCCTCTTTTTGTACAGTAGATAGAGTTTATTCTTTGCACCACCTGATAGGGAAAAAGATGCGTTACTTACAACCAATTCAAAATGACTTTTAAACTGCCCCTTATGTACACATTTAGCCAGCAATGTTATTAAGTTTTGCAAATAATATTTTAAGGGGCTGCTGTATCCAGATGGGAAAGTTATTGATTTTAGCTATCAGTGAGTTCCTAAAAGCCACTGGGACCGCTCTATGGCAACTTGTAAAATGTCTGGAACGGGAAAAACAGTGAAACTAAATCTTTCAGTCCTTCAGGGCTCCTTTTTTCCATTCTTGAGAGTGGTTATGTAAACTTGAGCGATAGATTCCATGTTTTTCTCTTTAAACCCTACAGCATATGAACATTAAGGTTATGGGCATTAAAATTGTGTGTAGTTGAAGGTGTTTTCCCAACAAAAACATTCAGGAGCAGAGGAAAAAGTAGCTGGAAGGCAGACTGGTGTGCTTCTGAAGAGTCAACTGTTAACTCTTAATGTTGGTAAAACTGTGCCAAGTTTAGTGTCAGGGATTCATTGTGTCACATTACACAGTGCTGCACCCATTGATTTAAAAGCGTTTATAATGGATCATAATGGGCCAGTGTGAAAGATTATATTGGATCCGTGCATTTGGTCTTAAAACTGATGGGAGCATAATGAAGCTGCTGCTGTCTGTGTCATTAATGTTAATCAAACAACAAAAGACAAAGAGAAAATCCCTCACTGCTCTTCACTGAATAAGTTTTGTAGCTTTAACAATGATTCATCTATATTTAATGTATACAGTGAAGACTATGCAATGTTATTTTACATTTGATTATTCAATTTCTGTACCTGAATGCATACAAACCTGAAAAACAAAGCATTGTTTCATTTGTATCTTTGTTTTATTGTATTTATTTGTACTATTACTAATTTGTTTATTTGTTCTTAATTTATTACTGACTCTTCAATTTAATAATGTTTGAACTTTGTATTTGTTAGGCTAGTAGTTTTTCTCGTGATATTTCCTGTGAAACTAAAATTGAGAATTGTGAAACTACAATCTAAACTTTTAATCTCATAATAAGCTTATTAATTAGATTACAAGATAACACTGGTGGAAAACAATAATAATTTTAGACAATTATTATAGACAACTATTTTGTGGCGGTAATAGTGAAAATGTTGGCAGTGCAAGTAAAAATATGAACCACTGGCCCGACTGGGCCAGTAGAAAAAATCCTTAGCGTTGAGCACTGTTATATGTCACGTAACCTTTAACAGACATCAGAGAACCGTGAATATGTGAATGTGTTGTTAAATTATTGAACTATCAACTTAAAATGTCAGAGGTTAATTCAAGTATATATTTTTGATCAAAAGAGTTCAGCTGACAAAAAGTTTAGGAATCCCTGATTTACAAGAAAAATTACAAAAAGACATGTTCAACCGCTACAGGGTCACTTTACTCCATTTTAGCCTTATTGTTTACCTTGGGGACTCGTTTCTGCCTGTGGGACGCCAATGTATCGGTGGAAGGGTTCAGGCTGTCATCTAATAGGCCACAGTGGGAGGAAGGCATGCCCAGCTGGGGTAGCAGCAGCATGTCATCATGGCTGTGCCTCTTAGACAGGCGGGATGTGTGCTGGCTCTTCCTGTCAGCAGGACCTGGCAGCCGCAGAGACTGACTACTCGGTTTAGAGGGCAGCTGGTGAGAGGGAAGTTGATAAGAAATTAATCTTTTAGCATAATGAAAAGGTGCAGACATGTATAATAAATCAAAATCTGTAAAATTAAAAAGTGCATAAAAATACACTACAATACGTTGCAAAGCACTTTACTAAATTTAGTAACAATATGGTGAATTAATTCATGTATATAAAGCATTGATTTAAATAAAAATCATTGAAAAGCAGGTGCTATCATCACTATCTTACACAGCCAAGGAGACTACCTGGGGAGGTGTAATGGACTTCCTGTCCTGGGAGGTCCACATCTTGTTGAGTGAGTCCCGGGACCTCTCGGGTAACAGGCGGGAATTTCTGGCCAGACATCTCCTCACTGGATCTACATCCTCATATGGATTCTCTTTCTCTGTTTGCAGAAGAGCAGAAGAGAGGGAGAAAAATTCAGAATAAAACCAAACACCAGCTGCCCAGGAGCCGACTTAAAAGGTAGCAAGGTAGCATGTCTTCTTAAGGAGTGAGTGGGAGAGAGAAAAACTGATAGGGAAAGGGTGGACAGAGGGTATGGAAGGCGGTGGAAGATGATAATGAAAAGAAGGAGCCGGAGGCACACAACGGGGCAGCTATTGAGTGCTGGGAAAGGATTATTCATGGAGGTTTACTGCTGGCGTGCTTGAAACTCAAGTGCATCGTCTCCAAAAAACAGTTTCTGTTGGACATAAGCCTTTGGACAGCACTCTGTCTCCAGAAATAAGGGCCAGTGATGAGTCAAGATAAGAGAATGTAGACAGTGCAGAACTTTAGTCTGACTCTGCACAAGACTCCATGAAAACAAAAAAACATTATAAATGTTGTGAAGACAGCCTCTTTGTTAAAACGTGTTTAAGATTAATCTTATTTTTGCAAACATGTTTTCTCATGTAAAAGGGTGAATCACTTGTTCACCGAACACTTGAGGATATAAATAAAGTTGTGCTTTCCCCTTTAAGAAACTTTGGCAGACTGATAGGCTACATAAAGCGAGGACAAGATGACCTGAATAGGGCCCGCAAAAGTTTTTAACTCTAATGTGGAAGCATGTATGAAGCATCAACACTGGTCTACTATGACTTCTTCTGGTAATGCTAATAATTAAGATATGTATACAAACACACACACAAGTTATATACATATATAAATATAATATATATTTTTATATATTTTTTTCCAACAGAAAACAGCTATGATGCTTAATATTTTTCAATTTAATGCGGTCTTGTGGAATTAAATATTAATTTCTTTAAAAAGAAAATCTTACCGACCCCAAAATTTCACTAAAAGTATTTTAAAATTGATCATTTAATGATGCATCCTATTGAACAAAATGAAGAACTGTGTTGCTCATATAACATCTAGCTATTGCATCACTTTGTCTCAGGTCAGTATAATGAAATCCTCTAATTAAAATCATTATTTCCAAGTCACCAATTCCTGGCTGTCAAGACAATGTAATGAAACCAACCGTTTGAATGCTGCCAGTTTCAATATGATGTAATAACAGTTGTGCACATCCCACACAAAAACAGTGCCCTACTTTTCTGTTGTTTTCTTACTGTAAGACATTGGCATATCACACATCTTTCTGCCCTGTTTCCCTCCACTAGATACACAACAGGGGTTATATTACAGAAACATCCTAACCTAAAATACTGAATGCTGATTTCAGAAAGAAACTTGGATCTTGGCAGATTATAACCTGACACTTAAAATAGGACATTTGCGTAATACAGCTCCAGGTGCACTACAAAAGAAAGCAATCATATCTGCTTAATTCATGTTGCATCTTGTAGATGAAAATATTAGCCCTTGTTTGTTCACCCATTTTGTTATATGCTTTACTTATTAACACTTTAGCACAATACATGACAAGGGTATCAAAAGTGCCACTAAGTAAACCTGGCCATAATAATCAGTGTAACTTCTTGTGAAAAGCTTAAAAGAAGGCAAAAAGCTACCATACAAAGTAGTAATCAACTACACAACAGCCTGACCTCACGAGATGTACTGCTGAGATTTGCCCTAGTGCCATTAAGCCTGAGAGGCACAATGACGGGCCAGCAATTGCACATAGTGCTCTGTGAGGCTCCCAAACGAAGCAATGTAATGACAGCATGCTGGAGAAATGATGTGCCTCCCTGACCACTCACGTACAGGAGGGTACTAATCAACTTCTCTGCTAACAGGAGCTCCACAAAACACACAGACAAAAGGAGAAAGAGTGGGCACCCCTAACCAAAACACATACTGTGCTTCTGTTTACGCAATAGGATTTCAAAGGAAAGGATGTTGAGTGCTTCATGTGTAAGTGGGCAGTACACTACCAATAAAAAGCAACACAGCAGACACAACCGTTTTATGTCCACATTGCGGTCTTCCCAGGAGCACCATGCGGTCATGTGAGACGAGGAATGACCCTCAAATGAAATGGCTTTGTGACGTGTAAACAAGCAGAAGATGCTTTTTGCCTGGAAGAAAAAGCTAGAAAACAGGAATGAAGAATGGATATTGTTTTCAACGAAAAATCATGGACAACAACCTGACTGTTATGGCCACTTATAAGGACTGAAAAAAGTAAATGGCCTGAAAATATGTAATTGAAGATTACATATCATATAAAAGCAACATGATGCCTAAAGTTTTAACCTGAGAAAAAGTTTAGCTTTACAAATGTATACCATAAATAATGTTTAAGTTTTTAACATTTGGTGACATTTTAGTAGCAAACAGGGCTGAAACCCTGTTGATGGTCTAAGGAAGCAGACCATCTGATATGCTAAACACAGCCTGATGCTTCTGGAGACCACCCTTATATGCCTCTGTCAGAATGTTACACCAATCCCCAGCTCAGTGGTTGGAGCAAAGAGGCACACAGAGGCCATATATTTCTCTGGAACTAATCAGCATTCGTAAAAATGTGCAACCACAATGCTTGATCCCACACCCGAGGTGTTCACTAGAACAATGGAACCTTTGTCAGGGGAAAAAAAGTCACCCACTTCCCAACTGCTAGAGACTCATGCACCGCCTGGACCGAGTGGCCATCATCATTTCAAGAACAATACGTAGAAAAGGCTTTATTTTTGGCTGTAGAACTGATATAATGACATATAAACTTCAAGCCTACCAAACCACAAACTCCTTCTGCTTGTTTGCCAACTAGGCACTTATTCAGCCAGACCACTTAACAGCAGCTGATGCCCAAGCCTCATCAGCAATGGCAAGACAGAGATTTACAGTCTGGCCACAGGGCAAGACGCTAGAACACTGTAACAGTGTCAAGCCCCACAGGGTCTGAGCATTAGTGCGCACAGACTATTTCCTGCCAGGAAGGAATTTAGCACCCAAAATCAGCCAGCACCACATGCCAGTACTTCATCACCTTCAGTAGACTAAAAAGGGGATTTAACCAGGGCTTGTGTGAAGAGTGCACAATCAGCAAACAATAAAATGGTACAAAATATCTGTTATCATAAAAATTTAATCCATATATCACTTTAAATATATAAAATATAAATAGATGCCTATAATGTTTTAAATTAAAAATATTAAATAATAAATATAAAAAGATAAATTATAATTTTTTTATTGCTATACTTCATTTAAATATTTTATTATTTTTATTATGATTTTATGCTATAAAAATATCTGTAAATGTTATATAGTTAAAAAATTATATACATTTAAAATATATGAAATCAATAAATGTACAAATATATAAAATATTTGTATTAAAAATAAAATTCTACAGTGGGTATAGAAAATAATCACATTTTGTTGCTTTGCAGCCTGAAATGAAGACAGACAGTTTTTGCTTTATCTAGCTGTGTTTACTCAGTGCAACTTATAGCATCCAAGTGAAAGATATCACACAAACATATCAGAAAAAATAATAATAATAAACCAGAATCACGGAGTTGGAAAAAGGATCACCCCCTTGCGTCAGTATTTTTTTGAACCACCTTTTGCTTTAATTACAGCTTTCAGTCTGGTGGGATATGTCTCTGTCTCTACTAACTTTGCACATCTAGACTTTACAATATTTGTCCACTCTTCTTTGCAGAACTGCTCAGGTTCAGTTAAATTTGATGGTGATCGTTTGTGAACTGCAGTCTTCAAGTCATTCCACAGATTTTCAGAGGGGTTTAAGTCTGGACTCTGACTAGGTCATGCAAGGACATTCACCTTTTTCTCCTTCAACCACTGTGTGCTTTGGCTCATTGTTATGTTGGAAGGTAAACCTTCTTCCCATTGACAACTTTCTGGCAAAGGGCAGCAGATTTTCCTCAAGAATTTGACCGTATTTTGCCCCATCCATTTTTCCTTCTATCCTGACAAGTGCTCCAGTCCCTGCTGCAGAGAAACACCCC